TCTAAAGGACGCATCCACTGCTCAGACGCTGGCTCTAAATCAGTCTGGCAAGGTTGCTGGTGTATTCCAGACGTCCTTCTCATGAATAGATACTGGTCGGCGCGGCCCGCAAATCTCAGCGGCCACCTCCATTGCAGACGGACAGGCGGGACACGTGTCCACATATGTCTCGCGGACTGACCCAAGGTCGCAGGAAGCTGAGGCTGCCCCCTCAGGGTCACCGCACGTGACCGACGCTGTGGTGAAGGGCCCCGAAACTCACGAAACTCACCCAAAGGCGGTTACCGATACAGCACATCGCATCAGTTTGGTTCGCACCTGCCAGACCAGTCAGAGCTTTGCTAGTCATTTGATGAAGCACAGGGTGCAGAAACAATGTGTTTGTGCGTCTTTTAGCGTACACCAGCGTCCAGCATGTATAAAACCGTCTACTATGTAGTAATGAGCTGAATCTGTACCTACCTAGGCAAATATTTTGGAGCTGGGTAAATCAGCTTATGATCATTACTGTTTAATACAGTGGCTATCTGTTGACGACCACAACACCGTGCCGCGTGCGGCTGTTTGAATTCCTCTACGCCAAAATTAGTAGCTACATGCCAATCTACGTCAAGCTGGAATTCTTCAGTTATGAAGACATTTTAGAGGTGATTTGATTTAATATACAAATCAAATAGAAAATTATTCTAGCTGGAGGCATAACCTACCCATCTAAATTCTTCGGTGACATTTCCATGTAGACAAATTGTGTTCACTATGCATGGATAATATCTAAAAGGCTTCTTTGGATTGGCATGCAATCGTGCACTGTTCAAACTTCTCTTGCCAACTTTGCTTTCGCTTGCCAAATATTCGGGACATATAAGAGGTGATCATCAACGACAGCTCATGGTTGATGTAGGAACTTAGGTATTCGGGCTGCTGCTAAAGGGTGCGGACAGAATCTGCATACAAAATAGGTAAACGATACCTATACCTATACGTCTGCTTTTGAAATTCCAAAACCAGCGTTAGAAATAATTCAATACCTAAATCAATTTTGAATGCTGTGCTTTAAGCTGCCTCGCTTCATTATCCCAGTCCAAATAAGTCTCTTTGTCAGTTTTGATTTAGGACGAAGATTGCAAATCTAACTGAGAAAATACGTGTCAGGATCACATTTTACCAGCAAAGTAAGTCTTATTTTAGTGTCACATCCTGAACCACATCCTTATTCTTAACTTTTAAAGTGCATATTTTCAACATTGTTTGAAGTTTAGGGTTAATATATATTTCATTTTTCAGGAAATCGATTCTATAGAATTTCATATTGTGTTAAAAATGCTCAGCTCAGTTGGAAATTGGAATTTGTGAAAGGCGCTTTTTTAATACGTGCGTACAAATTCGTAGAAAGGACAAGGCTACACCATAAAACCTTACCGTTTTATTAGGATAATGACAAATTATTCAATTGACAAAAATTGAAAACTGAAAAGCCTTAGAGCGGCTAGCTAAGACAGATCGTGTATCCATGCTTTAAGCTGCCTCGCTAAACCATAGATTCTGAAGAGCTGTCAAAGTCTCCGCAAAGAATAACTGCCTCAACCAAACGGAACACTGGCCAATTTCTGAAGAAACCTTCAGATGGCATTTTTCGACGGAATCTGTTAATCTGCGGCCGAGTCGAACGGTTCGTACCAGGCTGCGGACCGGATCGGCTCCCCTCCTCCCTATCTGATGGACGCGCTGCCCGGGCCCGATTGACTTGAGCGATGAGCTGACGTCACCACCCGTGCGCGCTGCCGTTGTCATGGCAACCGGTGGCTGCGTGCCGGTCTGCGGAGGCGCGGCCGCGGGCCGCGGAGGGGGGCGGTCATGGGCGGGGCTGCGGGAGTCTGCAGGGATCATCTCCCTCCCTCCGGGGGCCGGTCGCCGGTCTGTGCAGCGGCGGATTGTCGTCCTTGGCGTCTCGGCGCTTCGTACAGGGACCGGGCGGCGGCGGCACCGCTCCGAGACGGCGGCATCGGGAACGACAGACGACAGGGGCCCCTGGGAGCCACTCCTGTCGGGAGCGACAGCGGCAGGGGTCCGACAGGGGTGCGTCAGGGGTCCGGCAGGGTCTGACAGGGGTCTGTCCGACGGGAGCCTGAAGCAGGCAGGGGTCTGGCAAGGGGACCGGGGACGACAGGGCATCTTAAACTATAAGGACAAAAATCGCAGCTGCAGTATTTGCAAACAATGTAACCTATAGTTTTCAGGAGTATACCGACGTCAACACAGCGACAGAGGCCAACGCTCGAAACCGTCGGGTCTCTGACACTGACATAACGTCACAGATAAAGCCGTAGATTAAGGAGCAAACAGCCCGATGTGATAGACAGTGGGCCGAATACAAATCAGTCAATCGCTAGACGCAAACACCTGTGTGGACAATGGGAAGACAGGACGGTGATGCTGAACACAGGTATAACAAACCGCCGGACATTTACGGCAAACAATGTGGTGGAGAGACCGTGCTAATGCTGACTTCGAGCTAGGCGGAGAGCCACCTGGATAAAGACAAAAGAAACCGGAAGCGGTTTGGCATGGCACTGACCTAACACTACCTTACACCGTCACAGATGGCTTTTGGTTTTGACCTGACCAATGGCCATCTCACGCGAGGTACATCAGCAGTCGCTGGCGTACAGCTACAACAAAAGGACTGAGGACTACAAGCGAGCTACTCGCATAAAACAAAAACGACAGGCACTTGCACTGGCGAAACATCGTGCCGCCAAAACAAATTCGCTGTCATGTAGGCACACGCACAGCTTACGTAATTAGGGGAAGCGGGGGTAGCACCGCCATGTGGGAAACACCGCCATCCTCTCTATCGGCAAAACTCTGAATTGTAAATGGAAACACCCGCCATTTCGGTGTCCGAACGGAAACGGGACGCCGCGTGAGGTAGGTTTCGCTAAGATTTATTTGATTTTGAGATCGCAATTGCCCATTTTGTGAATTTCAAACCATCGTTGTAAATTGTAATCATTTGGCATGTTTGAGCAGCAAGTAAGTGGTCATTTCAAGTCAAAATGCCTTGATTTTTACGTTAAATTTGAGGGCATGAAGTGCTCTTTGTTGAGAAAGGAATTACAGAAGAATCGCATCCCGGCTTGTTTTGCTGTCGGGGCGTTGTCGGTCCATGACTGTGAGTGGGATAACACCGCCATACTCGGCGGTGCTACCCCAAGGGGTGGCAAAATGGATAAAGCCGCAATGATGATTCACTCAGCTCGGAGAAGAGCTTTAGTTAGGCCGCAAACGTCGTCTGTTTTTTAACCTCACGTTTGACTTCACTGGATGTTTCGAAATAAACGTGAATTTGTCATGCTTTGTATGCATATTGTCCGCAACAAACAGTCTGATCTGTGACAAACTAACAACCAACTCTTGTGTGTCTTATGAGTTTGAGTTACTATTTCAGACAGCAGTAACGCTTCCAAGGGTGGCTGTCACCGTAAGGCCGATCTGTGGATAACATCGCCATCAGTGGCGGTGCTACCCGCACATTTTTTGGTGGACGAAAAATGCAGGACTTGTTTTTGACGTCTGTAAAGTAGCGAAATTTTATAATGGAGCGCTGGAAACTATGCCAACATGTAGGAAAACATTCCTACTTTCACATGAATGCAAAAGAGCTTCGTTTTTACTACGCATATCAGCTCGGTGAGCAGAAATGCTTAAGGTGGCGGTGCTCCCCCCGCTTCCCCTATCAGCAGAGGCTGTGCAACAAGCGACTGAACAAACACAACCTCGCTGAAACATCGGAAGCTTACCTACGCGGTAGTATGCAGCGACACGGGCGCTGCATCGCTGACGGAAATGGAATCGATGCGTTTGTCTGCGTATATGCAATTATGAAACATTATTTATCCCACCTTGCATGTAAGTATTGGTGCCCGCAAGCATACGTTTCTATTTTACCTACATATACATCCAAAGGGAGTCTGTAGTCTTAGGAAAAGGGAAATCAGTTGTTGGGGGCGAAATCTTTTGCAAGCAGTTTTGTGTTGGTTTGCTGGCTGTTTCAGAAGACAACTGGCGTGTGTCGTGTGGTTAGCAAACACGAGCGCCGTCTTTCAAAAGGTGGAGAAAGTAGTGTCGCTGTTTTGTGCTTGCCGCTGGTTACAGCGGCTTATAAATGGTGCAACTCCGAACTGAGAAGATAAACGCCTGACGCCCGAATTAAAAAGCCCGTAACATACCCATCCACCGGCCGAACGGCTGACAGAATGTGCTCGGAACCGCGGCGGATTAAAGATATCCCCGCCGCCTGCCCTCATTCTGGGCACGGTGTCGCCCACTGCAGTTTTGGCAGTGACCAGGTGCTCATTGAGCGGTGGCAGGGCGCCACCAGGGACGACCGGCGCCCGCGCACAGTGCGTGTGAGGCATCCCGGATCGAAGCCGGACTCACGCAACAGGCCGCTAAACCCACGCATTCGTCCAGTGCCTGGTGCGGCGAGGCCATATGGTTCCGGCTCTCGGTAGTGAGATGGGATCCCTGTCTAATCGAGGGCGGATGAGGCGGCTGAGCAGTGACCAGGCGTTTCAGCTTCTGTCTAACTGAACAGTGAACGGCCTAGGTCATTGATCTGCTTCATAAAAGTATTCAACGTCAACGTCATATATGTACCTAACATTAGCGGTGTGGGGAAATGTATTTACTCCACACGATCGTACCTACGAGCCATGACATTCCTTCTTTTATGACTCTTCACAAAAGCAGGATTCTCACAACTGTCCGGCCTTTCCGACTTCTCTATGTCCCCATTTGCATTATCGCATCGGTGCGACGGGAATATGGTAATGCGTGGATGTCATTGTCTGGATGTCTGACATCATTGAAAGCCATGCATTGATACTTCTGGTTCAGCGGATTTAACTATCTCATGGACGTTAAGCACTGAATATCCGTACCCAAATCCAAAGCATATAATCCGGGTGATGCGCTGACTGGTATTTGTATTGTTGCAGAGACCACGCCGAAGATCAGCCCCGAAGATGTCTTCCTACCGTCGGCCGAGGCACCACACCTACGACTACAACTACAAGGTGGGCGAGAGCAGCTACCGCGACATGCTCGATTACCTGGACAAGAAGGAAGGCCGCCGCGCGCCCAGTCCTCCTCCCGGAAAGAAAACGTTTGCGGAGCGCTTCGCCGAGCGTCCCTTCTACGGCGAGCCGCGCCCGCTCAAACTGCACCAGAGCGATCTCCTGGCTCCCGAGCGCCGTATCTCGGAGCGTCCCTCCTCTGAGCGGCGAGCCACAGAGCGTCCCTCCGCAGACCGATGGGCCAGCGACGCTGCCGACAGGACAGCCGGGCTGTCTCCGCGGCCGGAGCGACGGCGCGTGCTCGACGACATGCCGCTGCTCTCAGAGCGCACCAGCAAACCGGCTGCTAACGAAGAGGCCCTGGAGATGGATCCCGAGGAGCTGATCGCCTCGATCCGCCGCGGCCGCGCCAAGCGAATGGAACTGCTCAGTTCTCTGGAGGCCGAGTCGGCAGCGGAGGGCGCGGAGGAGAGCAGCGCGGCCCGTCGTCGGAGGGCGCCGCGGCTGGACTCCGAGGAGCCCGAGGAGCCCCTCTCCAGCCGGCTGCGGAGCCTGGCGCTCACAGACGACAAAGAGCAGGAGGGCACCGTGGCCTCGCGCGCCGCCGCATCCAGCAGCTCGTCCTACTCGCTATCCACCAAGCGCAGCGTCTCGTCCAAGATGCAGAGCTCATCCAGCAAAACCACACGCTCAGTGCATTACGATTAGGAGTTTGTTCTAACGCCGCACACCCTGAGTCCAGACAGGACAGGAGCGCGGCAAGGGGAGGGACTGGGGACCGTAAATTAGGCTGACAAAGAAGTCACTTAAAGGTCAAGGAAAGCAGCACACAGGGAACGAAATGCATTGGTGTGAGATAGTCTTTTCAGAGAGATCTTGTATGTATGTGCAAATGTAGAACCTAGACAATGTGAGCATTGTGAAAACTTTTCAAGAAAAATAATGATGGGATTTGGGAACATATGAGATGATAAGGGCATCATAGGCTAAGTAAAGATGCAATGCAAAGTGATAGATGTTTCTGTGCTGTTTTATATAAGCATAATATAATAGTTTACAGTTATAAAACAGTCACCTTTCGTTGAAATGCATGGAACGGTGATAGACCGTTCTTTACTGAGTTGAAATAGCCATTTGTTTGTTATACATACTTGAAATAAATGGGTGAATTTAATTTCTTCGTTAACTTTGTAACTTGGAATAGTTTATTTAAAAGTATTTTGGGTGCTGTTTGCTTCATTGCATTTGATATCGCACAAAACATTTGTTACGTGCGGCGATAAGAGCCTATCATTAAACACCTTAACCCGCGCCCCGTTGGGCTCTGCCGAGCAACGCGCCCGGTTGGGGGGGGGGGCATTTTGGCCCCCCCCCCCTAAGATCTCGAGAACCACGCAACATAGCGACAAGCGGTAAACGGCGTTGGATAGCTCCAACGGGGAACTACCTTGTGACCCAATTTTATTGACCTAGGTCAAACCGATGACGTCACAGGTCAGGTCAAAGGTCCAATTTTCACCGTTTACAGGCACTTCAAGAAATGCGTTGTAAAATCGAGTAAAATGCATTTCATTGAAAATCATCGATGGGGAAATGTACTTCAAACACATATTTTGCTATTTGAGGTCACTGATACCAGGTCAGGTCACAGAGGTCAGGTCACGGGGGGGTCACAATATGAAAGTGTCGTGTGATACATGTTTTATGGTCCATTTTACATGACAAATGCGATTATATGGGTCAGGCAGCCTTTGGGGCCAGCTTAGATCACGTTTTGGTCAAGGTCAGGTCAAGGTCAGGTCAAGGTCAGGTCAAATTAGGTCAAATTTCAAAGTTAATATTTTTGCATAAAATGGGTATGGAATCGATGCAGCTCGTCACGGGGAGTTCAATGGTGGTCTTTGTTTTGCCGTACGAGGTCTAGAATTGCTAAAAATTGAGTTCAAAAATTTGACGTCATCATTTTTGAACAGTTTTTTTCGCTATAACTTGGCCAAAAAACGAGATATCGATCTGAAATTTGGTATGTATATAGAAGAGCGCTGGGACTATCACATATATTCCGGTTTTTTCGAAATTCGGAAAATTTTTGGATTTTTTCAAAGTTTTTCTAAAAAAATCAATTTTTTGATTGTTTTAGGTCAAAAACCAAAAATTTTGAAAATCCGAGATAGCAGTTTTGTAGCGCCGCCTTTTGTCTACTAGACCATATAGAGAACTTTGAAATTGCTTGATAACTGTAGATTTGGTGAGCGTTTCAAGATTGCATGTTTTTTGCTCATTTTTGCTCGAACATGACCTCAGTTTGACCTCAATAACTCCTGACCTAAGGTGACTTAAGACTTGAAATTTGGTGTGAAGGTGTCAAATTGATGCCCGGGAAGGTACTGAAAATTTGGCGGCGCTGCGCGCCGCCGTTTTCTTGCTATTCAGGAAAAACCACAGGGGGGGCCAAAATGGCCCCCCCCCAACGGGGCGAGGGTTAAGGCACGCAGCATTTTACAGTTCATCATAGCCGGCAGTATGTCCAGCATCTAAATATTCTAAAAAGATTTGTACTTACGTGGTGAGGACACGCTGAAATTTGAAAGGAGTAAGCCCACTCATTTCCATATAATCCTTAACTCTATACGAATCGCTGACAATTTTGACCTTCAGCTTGTCCCCGGCACAGTATAACCGTGGACAGGTTGTGCAACACGCCCGGTTAGATTACCGAGGAGCGACAGCTGCCCGGGCTGGCAGCGTCAGGCTCGCTGGACCAGCGAGATTATCTGACTGGCGGCATTGGTCTGTCGGCGGTCAGCCCGGCCAGGCCCATATACAGAGTCCACCGGCAAGGTCGATATGACATGTCACATGTGTAATACCTGCTTACCAGCGCTGTGCTCAGGAGGCGACCGACGGTGATGATGGCTGAGCGTTGTAAAATGATTCATTACACTTGTTTGGAATGACAATCGATCCATTGTTTTATTAGTGAGCCTTTCGATGCGACGTATATTGGTATCTGATTTTAAAGTCAGTTGGAACAAAATGAGTATTATGCCGATTGGATGTTGTCACTTCATTTGACAGACTGCGTCCCTCCAAAGTGGATTAGGCATGGGCCACACATGAACAGTCAACAACGAAAAAATGATGTCCCTTTCATAACTTAGCGGGATGCACACCTTGCTTAGACACCTTGCACCGGTGCACCCTCTATTCCTGAGGCTACCTGCAAAATCCAACAAAGGACGGCGATCGCAGGTGGGCGCCAGAGTTCAGTCGATCCCTGTCTTACGGTAACCAATAGGTCTGAAAGATAAGTTCTATTAATGCCCCACGTCCCGTAGTGCCAGCTTAGGATTGGGATAGACGAAGATCCCGTGCCGCTCCTGATATCCATCGTAAGTCTTCACAAAGGACCTCCCGCGGAGAAAGAGAGAGTGACGCTGCAAGCCAACGATTGGAGATATGGGTGCCTTGGCCTAGGATAGCCTCATTTGAAAACTGCACACTTTGCGTGTAGTAAAACCAATACAATTGCAAGAAATCTCGAACATGTTTTCAAGCTCATACTCATTATGGCGATACCGCGCTGACAAATCCCCATCAAGCAGTAGTTATCTGACAGCTTTCGTACTGCATTATCCATAGCCACTTGAGTGGGTTGGACTATCTCACGCAAGACATGAGAGATAAAATGCCAATGTCGCACGGGCTGAACGGAGCTGCGTTCCTGGTTTGATGTCAGATCTGCACCTCACAAATCCCCGCACCGTGTCCGCTCCGGCCAGCAGTGCGGGTCACGGCCAGATAGCATCAGCTCGCTCAGGGACCAGGGCTTTACTGGAGCCGCCAGCCTCGGGCGGACGAATCGCGCTGCAGAGGTGCGTGCCGAATGTTGGCGCTTATCTAAAACCATGCTTCAATCTGCTTTGTAGAACCGAGAGTAATAGCACGACCTTACGTATTACATTTTGTTAAGGCGGCCCAAGCCGTAGTTTTTTTGGATTTCCCAGCTATTTTGGAATATAGGACAAGAATATCTCCATAGTTAATGCCGCATTTCGTAGAAGGGGGATTTCCTGTGTGAGCTAATCGCATTAAATCAAGAAAGGTGTGCGTTTGTTGGCAATGGAACACCAACCTAGCGACCTTCAATGGTTAATGAATACCACACTTTTGTAAGATAAAATACCTAATGACTTCAATGAGATTAAATTGACATCCATTGTCGCATAGCCTTCTTTGACATGCCGGTTCCGCGACTAGGCGTTCACAGTTACGACATAATCATTGTTGGGGCTTAACCTTGGCCTTTAGGTACCCTGCCTTACGTGGCCTTGGTTGGCAGGATGGTGCCTGACCACTGCTGTGCTGTGGCCGTAACTATCCCGATAAATGACCAGTAAATGTTGGCAGCATGACAGTCAGTGTTATTGACAGGTGTGTGAGCTATACACTTGTGCATGTTCATGAGGCTGAGAACGAGCATAATCGGCTGGATCGGTCCATATTTTCAGATCAGAGACATCCTCAGAATTGCCAGACAGGTGACGGCTTCATAACACCAGCATGCAAAGTATTGTGACGTAAAAACTCGTCTGCTTGAACACTTGGGACGATTTTTCCAAAGAAAGGGTGTGATACGTGAATATTACGATTTTTCGCAATGTGAACAGATCGTAAATGTTATGGCCCGAGCAAGCATCAAGTACTCATATGACAAGATAGGTGTCACCGATGCTATTCAATCCGACGCCAAGTGTCCAGTCCATGGAATTGAATTTAGTGACACTCTAGATTGATTAAGTGAACCGCATCGCGGCCACATTTTTTTGGCACTGGCACAAAAGCAATGACGTGGAATAAGACAATTTGAAATAACGTGCTATTTATAACCGTTACAAATTTACCGTAAACGTTAAGTTATAAATACTTTAAGTTTTTCGTCATCCGCTGCTTTTTTTATCAGCCAAATTCACTTTCTGAGGCTCACACATCCGTATGTATGGTCCTCTACGGTGGAGCAGCAACAGCTTCTTGGAAGCATGAGCTCATCTCATATTGCAGCCATGTCAGTCCATCAAAGGGCACAGTTGCTGCTGACAGCTGCATAGGCTGGAGCTAGGGTGGACCTTGACCAGTATACACGAATAAACGTTGCTGAAACTGCTCCGACTCTGAGCAGACCGAGAAGACCTTTGACCGTTCTGTGCAGACAGCTACTGCTGAAAGCTGTCTAGTGCCTAATGTAGTTTTTTCTTGACCTATGCGTGGGTACAACATGTACATTTCTCAGTTTGACCGCCTGAATATACTAATGAAGTGTTACCGAATGACGATACATGTGTGTCGTATCCTTTTACACTGTTTGGCACGATCAGACATCCTTTTCAGCATTCATTTAATAGCGGACCCTTCCAGCATCACTTTGGTCAGTTCAAAGTCAGTGTTGGTCAATATATGCGAGTTGCAAATGCATTAACATGTACATTATGTTCTTGATTTGCATATGGAATGTAGGGCTAGAAGTGCTCAGATGATGTCTGCACGCGAAACATACTTGTGCTTATTCAAGCGCCGCCATTTTATGGCCTCCGTTTTCTTTCGGGATTCAGGTCCGTCCGGGAAGCCAGGGGATGTGGATTGGGTGGTTGGTGGGGTTGCTGACAGGTCCTTTTATCGAACTGGTAGAGGAGGAAATTTCAGGTTCAAGCTGCAAAGCTAGAGACTAGCTCTGATTACATTCCCAAGACCACATAATTTACTTACCAGGAAGCTCTTTTCATCGAGCAAAAAATGACATTGCTTGAAACAAGGAGACAAAGCGTAGCGCCGAACAAATTTACCAAGAAATCGAAAACTTCTCCAGCCGATTCATTGAACCATTTGAAGAAACGTTTCGAATTGCAAAACGATCAAGCGAAAACATATGCAGAGGTATGTCAAGACGAAATCGAAGCTAATCAAGAGACGATTCGAAGGCTACGCAGCGAGATATCAGACGCTAGAAAAAGCCTCATCAGCGCAAAAACCAATGAAGGCTTGATGAGACAGGCTCTTCGTGATCATCACCCTGGAAGCAGCATATTTCGGGAATGGGAGCCAAGAGATGTCAATGAAAATGTTGATTACAAGCTTAGCGGCATGCGGAGCAAACTCAACAGGCTAAAGCATGCACACACGATGAAGATGAAGCATCTCAAAAGTTTGTTGCGCACATTCAATGAAGCTGTCGACGACTCTGGGTACCTCGATCTGGAGGGACCGATGGGGGATACGAGATGTCTTGCTATTGAAAATGAGATATGCGTGAACGACAAAAAGCTTTTGGAGGCCGAAATGATTGGTCACACTTACCGGCGCATTCGAGATCAGCTAGCAATGGAGGCGTTATCTAGTCAATCAGCTTTCGATGCTGCCAGTAAACTGCTACGCAATCACGAAGAGGAACTGGCCATGTGTCAACGATCACAAGGAGATGCGGTTAAAGGAAAAGAACTAGCTGACGCAGAAGTGTACAAATCAGAGTTTGACTTGCATCATTTCCGAAAGGATAGGAAAGTTGAGATTGCTGAATATAAAAAGAAAACCGAGGAAGAGAAGCATGAATTTACAATTCTTTGGAAAACAATACAGGCCCATTTCGCTGCACAAGAGACTATGCCACTGTCGCAAATGACGTACCACTCCAAGCTTTCGATCATCTGTAGTACAGAACTGCATGATGCTGGTGGTCTTTTTGAGTACAGTGAAGAGGAGCTCGAGCTAATGAAGAACGTAACAGGAAGTCATACAGTGCCGGAAGTGGCCGAGAAATACGAAAAACAAGAGGGCACGTACCAGTACGCCAAGGCGTTCGTGAATGAGCTGGAGGTGCGCAAGTCGGCACTGCTGCAGCGCCTGGACGAGCTGACTATCGTCAGGAATTCCCAGCTGCTCCGGGCAGAGTCTGAGCAGGAGGCCCAGCTGCGCAGCGCCGCCGGAGACGCTCGCGCCGCCGCCCAGCCGGCCCGCTGGAGCCGGGTGGCTGCCTGTAGCCGCGTCACGCAGACGCTGGCGCGGCTCCGGCAGCTGCTCGAGTACCTGTCGACGGTGTTCGTCAGCGCCGGCCTGGTGGAGCCGCCGCCGGCGCACGACCCGGCCGACACGGAGAGCCACCTGCACAGCCTGCTGGCGACGGCCGGCGCCGGCGTCAGCGCGCTGATGGCCTCACTGCGCGGCACGGAGCCGGAGCGGGCGCAGCGCGCCGCTGCCGCCGCCGCCTTCCTGATGACGCGCTCCGAGCACCGGGTCTCCAAGCGGCGCACCCAGCTGGAGGACGACACGGCGCGCGACGACATTGGGTACGTCGGCACCGACGGCGACACGACCGGAGACGACGCCGTGCCGTCGCGAGCCGCCATCAAACGGCAGGCGCACATGATCCTGATGGCACGCCAAAAGTCCGGCTCCAGGAGCAGGAAGAAGTAGCCTCCGGTGCAGACAGACGTCAGGTTCAGCTAACGATGGGGCGCCGCCCACTCGTGATCAGCTCGTAGGCCATCAAGGCGGTTGCCGGAGAGTGACTGCTGGGATCAATGACCAGGGCTGTAGAGCACGGAAGACTGACAAACGTTAACAGTCTGCAGGGTCTGCAGGTGCTGAGGAATAATCATTGTGACTACTAGGTCGGTAAAATGATGGGACCCTGAACCCTAGACCCTAGACAGTTCCTGGACCCTAGATCTATACAGTGGGAAGATGGGACTTCCAAACGCGATCGAGGCTGAGAGTCACCAAAGGTCGACCAGCGCAGAAGAGTATTCAATTCATCGTGTTAACTGACATGCATGCTCATCAATGGGGTGACTTTTAGTGAATGGAAGTCGGAGGCCGCAAGCCACAACGAAACCTGAAATCGACAACTCTTCACCTTGAACACTGATGAAGCCAATAATGGAAAATGCGACTTAAGTGAATTTACAGCAA